GGCACTTAACAACAACAACAACTACCATGCATAGAAAATGGCTGGAAGACAAAGAACTCTGAGATTAAGGCTTTGACTGCTGAGACTACAGGGGATTTCTATTTCCTTATTTAAAAGCATCTGTATTTTCCAAATTTTCTATAATGAGTATGTCTTTTTTATAACCACAAGTTTCTTGTTTTGTTTTGTTTAATGAAGGCACATGTATTTTAAGAGTTTATTATACATGTCACTGGGTCTTGGTGTGGTGCTGTGGGTTAATACGCTGGACTGCAAGGCTGGTCTGAACCTAAGGTCGATGGGTCAAGCTCACCAGCTGTTCCTTGGAAACCCTATACAGGGTTGCTATGGGTTGGAATCAACTCTAGGGCACTTAGCAACAGCAATATGCAAGTCATTGGAGTCCTGCTGTGGTACTGTAGATAAGATAAACCCTGGAATGCTAACTACAATGTTGTTGGTTCAAACACATCAGCCGATCCTCAGAAACTCTACATAGCGTGACTATGAGTTGTAACTGACTTATTAGCACTTAACAACAACAACATAAATATAATTGCTCAAAGCCAAAGATTCAAAGGAAATCCATGAAGAACACAAACATCTAAAAATCCTGTCCAGATGGTGTTAACAAACACACTCTGTATTCTGGGGAAAGTACAACCATGAAGCAATGAGTTTATATAAATGTAAGTACCTGCACAGTTTCACTTTCTGCACATTAAACTCCTAAAAGAAAACAGAAGGTGATATATAAGGCGCTTAGGTATCACTGCCATGAAGTCATTCCTGCATATGGGCACCAGGGAGGACTTTGCACAAGGTTATCCTGTGTGAATTTCATTGACCGTAACCAGTCTTCAAGATACAAACAGAATGGACTTGCTGTTCTACCAGATCTGCAAACAGTCTGCCTCCAATGCTGGCTCCTCCCTCTGAGGTGGAGCCAACCCTTCAAAGGACGCAGTACGCCTTCTGCTCAGCATCCCTCTGCTCAGATCCCTGTCCGCACTGACCATGGCCACCTTTGTGACACTCAGCTCCAAAGCCGAGATGCCTATTGTGGGCCTGGGCACCTGGAAGGTAGATATGCATGTGTGTGGTCACCTGCCTCCATCCTGGGGCTCTTGGCCACTCTCCCCTGTCTGTGGTCAACCTGTAAGCCTGCTGTTGGGTGGGTTGTAAGGAGGGAAAGTCCTACTATGGAGCCAGGGATAGGTAGCTCCCTCTCGCCAGAACGTTCACACTCCAAATCCCCTAGGATGCTTGTCCCAACTGGGACAGACAGAGCTTCTCCACCACGATCTAGATTCCAGCAGATGTTGGGCTGAGAAACAGACTAGTTTCCCAGGGAAGTTCTTCTAGAAGATCTTCCTCTGCTCTCTGCTTCCTGGCTCTGGGACTTTAAAGGGTCCTGCACTGTTGGGACCTGCAGTGGGTTTGCTGCCTGGTAGATGAGTGAGGGGAGGGGACAGGAAGAGCTCAGTCCCTTGGCACTGGCTGTTCAGTGTGGTCCTGGGAGCTGCTTAGAAATTCAAACTCTCAGGTCATTCCAGGCCTTCTGCATTAGAATCTGCACTTGAACAAGACTCCCAGGGGTGTTCATCCGGTTCAAATTCCTGACGCACACTGCCTCCCCAGGAAAGTGGCCCAATGTTTATGCAGGGGTCTGGCTATGCTGATCAGATCCATGAGAGCTGGACAGGGCCAATGTCTCTGGCAAGGTTGCAGAAATGTTGCACATCCCAGGGCTCAGGGACAGCAGGTGCATGCGCCTCTCTTAGTCTAAGTTAGAGTTCTTTCATCATCTTCTACCTGCCTTTCTTGCATTTCTTTCAAGGATTGTGTCACCCTAACTTGACTCTTCCTTCTCTGGGTCACTGTTTTCCCTTGGCATCCTTCTTCCCACTTCCTCTACTGGGGAGGGTGATATCCCAGACTTTCTAAGGAAGCATTTTGGGTCTGTCTGGTGGAGTAGAAGAATTCCAGCATCTCTCGCTGGGAAAGGGCTGCTTCATCCCAAATTCAAGTTGTAGCATCTTACAAACATGACAATGGATCCAAGTCTCCAGGACCTCTGCTCACCCAGATAAATGACAAAGCTGCTTTCAGAACTAGAGCATGTGGACAGAATTCCTTCATTTAAAAAAAAAAACAAACCAACCCCTTGTCAGTGGAGGTGGGATGCAATGGTGGGAGGGTCTGGGGAGGCTGAGTTGCTGCTACATCCACTTCTTGTCCTGGGGTGCTACAGATCCACATTCTGTTTCATTGACTTCTTGGGACATTTATTCTTTCACAATTGTGGTGGTGGTTATGGGCCAAAGTAACTCTGTATAGGGTTTCCAAGACTGTTAATCTTTACATGAGCAGAAATTTTCATCTTTCACCTGAGGAGCAGTTGGTAGATTTGAACTGCTGACCTTGTGGTTAGCAGCCCAACACATATCCAACACACTACCAGGGCTCCTTATTTCATAATAAGAGAGATTTCGAAAAAGATTTGTGGAATTTCAAGATAAAGTCCTTTTCTTTCCTTCCTTTTTCTTGTTGCTCAGGTTGGCCAGGTTAGAGTAAAATGTGCTATTTATTTCCTTTTTTGCCCCAAGTGGGGGGGCAAGAGCCTCTATTCCTTTGGGGATTTTTTGCCTTCTTTTTCTTTTTTAACTTTTTATGTGAATTGAGTGAAGGTTTATAAAGCAGATCATCAGTTTTACATTCAACAAATCACAAACTTTGTTCCATTTCAATGATGGACATCTTTTCAGGGTAACACCTGTGATCGCATTTCCTCCTTGGGTTTCCTGTTTCCAGTCCATCTCTTTTGTTACTCTTCTGAATTTTGTCCTCAAGTTAAAAGCTGCCCTTTATACCTTGAATGGTTGACCACCTCATTAATGTTCTCTCATCCATATTCCTATCTACTGCTTGGTTGAAAACTGAGCCACAGGGCTGATTTCAGTTTTCGACCTGAAGGGTGATGAGGTCATAGTCTAGGGTTCATCTGGTCTCCTTCTGACCAGTAAGCCTGATTTTATATATATATAATTTTGAGTTTTTTCCACATTTTCTCCCATTCTATCCAGGACCTTCCAGAGCAGGTGGTGATGGTAGTTGTTGTGGTCTCAGGGTATTAGAGACTGGTGCTCCCATGTGCCATTGGTCCATTGGACTAAGTGATTCCAAGTGTCTTCAGTTCTTATCACTCTTCTTTCCTCTGCACAGTGAGGTACCAACAGTTGTACCTTATATGGCCGGTCATGAGTTTTTAAGATTCCAGTCACTACTTATCAAAGTAGAATTTTTAACAATGTCTTCGTGGACTATGTTATGTCAGTTGACCATGGTATTCAATGAACTGTGATGCTGTGTCTCCAGTTCCAGAAACTCATTCTTTCTGGGTATTTTTGCTCTTGTTAAATGCCATTGAGTTCATTCCAACTCATAGAGATCCTGTTTGGGTGTACGAGGCTTTAAATCTTCATGGGATCAGAAAGCCTCAGCTCTCTCCTGCAAAGCAGTTGCCAGACTCGAACTGCAGACCCTGTGGTATGCAGTCCAGTGCTTATTGTATGGAGTCACTGTGCTCTTGGCAGCCTCTGGCAATGTTTCATTTCCCCCTTTTGTGAAATAATACTTATGTCTTGCTTCTAACCATCAAGACTTCCTGAGTCTCAGGCCTTGTGCTAAACACTTTCTTTTCACTGTGGCCCTATTCCAACCCAACCACCCCCACGGCAAGTGTTCTCATTTTTTTGTGCAAGGCTTAGACAGATTAATCTGCTTAAGGCCAAGCCCCTAGGAGTTAGTAGAACCTGGATTTATCTGGACTGATTTTACAGAGCCTTATCACTGTTTGGAGATTTTTTCTGCCAAGTCTTTTCTTCCGGGTCATTTCAGAGAGCAGTTTCAGCCTGGTCTTTACAAAGGGGCAACCAGGAGCCATGGTCACCACCATCTTTAGAAAGGGGGAATGAGAAGCCATGGCCACTCCATCTTTAGAAAGAGGGCCATTAGGAGTTACAGGTCACCCATGAAAACCTGGGGCCCTGTCAAGTCTGAAAGGTTTACCTGTATGAGGAGGCAGTTGACTCTTGCTTAGAATGAGACATGAGCCATGATCACAAAGCCAACACACTTTTTTCCCTCCTCTTTTGAAATGTTCTCCTAAATTGTATTATCTGCCCTGGGGCCCCAGTGCATCCAGGTTTAGATAAGTGGGCTGTGTAGGGGAGTCCTGAGGAGGTGACCTGGGGATGAGAGCATGTAATGGTCTTCTCTTCTCCTTAGTCTGCTCCAGGTCAAGTCAAAGAGGCTGTGAAGGCAGCTATTGACGTGGGGTACCGCCACATCGACTGTGCGTTTATGTACATGAATGAGAGCGAGGTGGGGGAGGCCATCCAGGAGAAGATCCAAGAGAAGGTTGTGACACGCAAGGACCTCTTCATTGTCAGCAAGGTGCCCTATGTCTATGGGGTGGGTGGGAGCAAGGTCTTAACCTCAGGGCAGCCAGAAGTGTTTGGCTTGGTCACCACCAAGGATTCTCCAGCCTTTTCTACAAGCACAAAGTTGTTATGCTTTATGATCTACCCAGTACCCACATAACAACACTCCCAGCCAGAACTGGAATGGGAGATGCTGCCCCTGTACTCCTCTCCTGAATTGGATATCCATTGTGGGAATCCAGTCCACTGAGCCACAGTGATATTCATGACCTCCTTGTCCATCATGGGATGTAGCTGCTCAGTGTTGATCACTGGCTGACTGTGTAGGGATGGATCCAGAATGGATTCACTTCCAAGAATCTGTCTCCACAGTGGGCATTTGATGTTTTAAATACCCACCTATGAATTCTATTCTCCTTCAGCATAATAAAAGGCCAGTTACAAATGCTATAGTAAAAAGGAGGCCATTTGTCTATAAGGTTGAAGATGATAGGAGCACTCAACAGGAACTTCGAGTACTGGAAAGAACACGCACTGGGAGCAGCAAAGAATCCATGTGCAGAGTGGAGTCCTGGTGGGCTCTGGGAGAAGCATCCCCAGGGACTTGGAGTTTTAGAAAGAGGATCTTCTGTCCTGAGGCAGGAGAGAGATTATAGTCTAAGACACAATTCCTTAGCGCCCTATAGTCAAGAGGTGTAGCAAATGTGACGTCAGGACCAAATATGTCTACTAGCATGAGGGACACATAACATGTTAGGAGAGCTGAATAAAGAAACTGCCTTAACACTTAGGAAATACCCTTTAACCTCTGTGCCCTGGTGACCAAGTGAGCTCACGGTCTGAACCACTTTCGCTGTAAGGACTCTGTCCCACATTAGACCCAGGGGCAAGCCACTGAGGTGACAGAGCCCTCCTTCCTAGCACTGACCCTGGGTGTCTCTCTCCGCAGCTGTGGCCCACCTTCTTTGAGAGGCCCCTGGTGAAGGAAGCCTGTCAGAAGACCCTCAAGGATCTGAAACTGGACTATCTGGACATTTACCTGATTCACTGGCCTCAGGGGCTTCAGGTTGGAACCATTCCCTGTCCCATCTCATTATTAAGTCAATGCCGGGGTCTCCTCTAATCGGCTGTGGGGCTGCTGAGGTGGGAGATGTGAACTGCAAGTGGTCTGGGAGGTCAAGGCCATAGCTGTATTGTTCACCACATACTGGGTGTTCTCCCAGTTTGTGTGAGAGGGCACTGATTTTTCTGGCAGCCCACAGAAACTACCACTGCCATGTTGCCTTTGTCCCGATTCTGTGCCAAGGGCTCCTCTCCTGGGAGAATACTTGTGGGAGGGACTTTTACATCACAGCATTTTAGGGCTCAAGCTTCTTGTGATTGAAACACCCTGAGGGTGATGTGTGGGAGAAAAGTCCAAGTATGTTTGTGCTGGAGGGTGGTCAGTCCTCACTGAGGACCCAGGACACTTTTCCTGGGTGCCTCTTCTGCTCCTGTAAGGCGAAAGGGAATGTGATAGCCAAATCTTCCACCTCATGCCTTACATGGGAGTTAGGTTGTCAACTGGGTACCATCCTCCCTCCCTCCAGACCTCCTGAGTCTGTTGGAAGGAGAAATTTGTCAGTGTCTTTTCCAAGAAAACTATTATTGAGACCAAATCCTCATCTACTGGTCTCGAAATAAAAGTTTTGCCCTGAAGTGTATATGTGGGGCCTGGGTGTATGGGAATAACACCCAGGGTGGTAATGGTGGCTTTTGGAATATGCTATGGATGGATTTTGAAATCAACCATCAGTTTCTAAAATATGAGGTTGTATATGTGACAATGTTGCTGTCATTAGTAATTGCACTTAAATCGGTTCCAACTCATAGCTATCCTTCATAGGTTTCTAAGGAGTAGCAGATAGGTTTGAACCACTGACCTTGTAGTTTGTAGCCCAAGGCTTAGCCTATAGTGCCACACCAGGACTGCATATGTCATGATATATTTGCATATAATGGTTTAGAAATTTTATTGAGTCCCAAATGCTTGAAGTTTGTAGCCTGAAGTCTGAGAAGGTTACATGCAGGTGTGGTTGGTGAGCCAATGCTAGATGTTCAGGATCCTGGAACCTCAGGAACAGAATCCAGGTGCCTAAGGTAGATCCAGTTTAAGCCTCTTTGTTTTACATTTATAGTCATGAAAGGAAATTCTCCCGAAAGATGATCAAGGCAATGTGCTATCCAGTAAAATCACATTCATTCTTAGATGTCTGGCAAGTAGGTTCCAGATTTTTCTAAATGAGAAGTCTCCTTCAGCAATCTGTGCTCTCCGCGCTAGCGTGAAACAGCCCAGGTGCCTGATGCTGCTTAATTTCCTTGTCGTCATCTGGTAGTTCTTCCAGCTCCTTCAACTCACCTGTGGTTTTCATTTCTTCTTCTTCTGACACAATTTTACTTGTGTTTCCAAAAGCTAAGATTGAATCCTCATGTGAAAAGGGGAATATAACTTCTACCCAAATTTGGAGGATATACACATATTTGTTCTCCAAACACGGGAGAGGGAAATTAGGTTTCATTACCATTGGAATAAGTACATCTTGAGGGCAGTTAACAACAACAGTTATCAACCCAATTTCCAAACCACTCGAAATCCTAGCAAAGTCAAATTGACATGGAACTCTATTACCTTCCACCCTTGACAATGTGACCCGTATAAACAATGTGAGTAATCTCTACGTAAATAAAATTGTAAAGTCATACTTGCACCTAACATGATATAACTAAAACACATAAGATGTAACGGTACCATTTACATCTTATTTGTCAAATTGAACAAAGCAAAAATACTTGATGCACACATACAAAACAAAACAAACTATATATTCATTTAAATGTCCAAAGAGCACATCCTGAGAGATAGCCTCCTGCTCATGGCCACACAGCCTTACTCAGTACATGGGCCGAGAGTCCACAGCTGTTCTGTCTTTCCATGCCACCACCTCTGCTGTTACCACTTTTCCAGGCAGGGATCCCGCACTCCATTCATGCTGTTCCTTCTTGATGGTCCTGGAATCCTCTGTTCCTAAAATGGAAAATAAACTACTCTCCACTTTTAATTACAGATCTTCTACAATTAGTTCTGAAAACCACAATTAATCCTACTAACAACAGCTCACAATTGAAATCAGAAAATCATATCAACATTATCTCACACCACCTTTCACCAGACCCTTCTGGAAAAGAGTAAAACTAACCAGTGGCAATTCTTCCGTACCCCCCTCATTCTGAAACTAAGCACACTCATGAAAGCTTGTAAGCTAGCCACTTCATGCCTTTGTAGCTAAAGATATTTCTGATAGCCAGTGTCTATGCCTGTCTCTTGGCTTCAAGGCTGATTTGAAACTCAAGGTCTGTGTGGTTCAAGCTCACAAGCTGCTCCTCGGAAACCCTATATAGGGTCGCTTTGAGTCAGAAGTGACTCAAAGACACTTAACAACAACAACAACAATAATCAACCCAGTACACTAAGGAGAAAAGCATGTTCCTTGATCTAAAGAATCTGACATTCCAGTTGGAAATTTGAACAACTGCATCCATAAACAAAAGTCCATCATATTGTAGCAATTTACACTTGCTCTCAGCACCAAGAGCCAATGATACTAAAGGAGGAAGTCCAAGGTGCATTGAAGGAATTGACAAAGAACAATGCATCAGGAATTGATGGATTAAAAACTGAAAACTTTCAAGAAAGTGAGGTGACACAGGAGGCACTCACTCATCTTTGCCAAGAAATTTGGAAGACAACTATCTGGCTACTGATTGGAAAGATCCATATTTACGCCCATTCCAAAGAGAGGTGACCCAACAGAATGTGGAAATCATTGGACAATATCTTTGATATTCCATATGATACAGAAATGGCTACAAGCACACTTTGACAGAGAACTTCCAGAGGTTCAAGCTAGATTCAGAAGAGGCCATAGAACGAAGGATATCAATGCTGATGTCTGATGGATCTTGGCTGAATGCAGAGACTATCAGAATGATGTTTACCTGTGCTTTATTGACTACGCAAAGGCTTTCGATTGTGTGGATCATGACACACTATGGACAACATTACGAAGTATGAGTATTCCGGAACACTTAATTCTGCTCATGAGGAATCTGTACTTGGACCAAGAGGCAGTTGTTCGAACAGAGCATGGGAACATTGAACGGTTTAAAATTAAGAAAGGTGTGCAACAGGGTTGTATTCTTTCACCATACTTATTCAACCTGTATGCTGAGCAAATAATCCAAGAAGCTGGGTTCTGTGAAGAAAAACGTGGCACCAGGATTGGAGGAAGACTCATTAACAACCTGCGATATGCAGATGATACAACCTTGTTTGCTGAAAGTGAAGAGGACTTAAAACATTTACTGATGAAGATCAAAGAGCACAGCCTTCGGTACGGATTACATCTCAATGTCAAGAAAACAAAAATCCTCACCACTGGACCAATAAACAACATTCTTGTTAATGGAGAAAAGATTGAAGTTGTCAAGGACTTCATTCTTCTTGGATCAACTATCAACACTCATGGAAGCAGCAGTCAAGAAATCAAATGATGTATTACATTAGGCAAATCTGGTGCACAAGACCTTTTTTAAGTGTTAAAGAGCAAAGATGTCAGCTTGAGGCCTAAAGTGCACCTGACCATGGTATTTTCAATAACCTCATATTCATGCGAAAGCTGGACAGTAAATAAGGAAGACCGTAGAAGAACTGATGTTTTTGAGTTATGGTGCTGGAGGAGAATATTGAAAGTGCCATGCAGTGCCAAAAGAACCAATAGATCCGTGTTGGAAGAAGTGCAGCCAGAGTGCTCCTTGGAGGCCAAGATGGCCAAACTTCGTCTCTCATACTTCAGACATATTGTCAGGAGGGAGTAGTCACTGGAGAGGATATCATGTTCGGTAAAGTGCAGGGTCAGAGAAAAAGAGGAAGACCCCCAATGAGATGGATTGGCCAAGTGGCAGCATTGGTGGACTCAAGTGTGGCATCAATAGTGAGGTTGGCCCAGGATTGGACAATGTTTCGTTCTGCTATGCATAAGGTTGCTATGAGTTGGTACCAACTCAATGGCACCTAATAACAACAACAATATATGTGGTTCAGAGTTTGGGGACTGTTCCCTTAACCTGCTTCATCCAGTATACTGTGTTATTGCTCACAGAGATCCTCACTGCACTCCTACCCTATTTACCAGAAAGCCACCAAAGTCAGCATTTTGAACCCACCAGATGCTCCTCTGAAAGCGTATATAGGGTCATTATGTGTAGGAAATGACTCGATGACACTTAAAAACAATTCAGTATCAAACATCTTTATTTTCATCTGATCAGATTCTGGTCAAAGTTCAGCCTTAACCACCCAAGTTAGGTCAAACTCCCAGCTCTGACTTTGGGAGTTCACATACACCTCCCTGCACTTCAAACCACTGGCCTCTTCACCCTCAACCCTAGGCCCCAAGTACCTGGTCAGTGTCCGTGGGCCCAGGAGTTCACACGACACTAAACATCACATCAGCCAGCCCTTGCTCCTGTCTCATCACATCTCAAGGTCAACCAGTGCCAGTGGAAGATGTGCAAACTCAATCCTTGTCTTCATTGTTACATTTCTCCCAATTTCACTCAAAAGTAGACTGGAGTAGTCACCATAAACATGCTCACAGTTCCTTTAACTTTCAACCCTAGAACGGGATTTTCTCTGATGGGCATAGATGTTTCTGGTCTTGATGTCTCCAAGGCAAATAACTTTCTTGCCAGAAGCTTATTTTTGAAACAGTTTGATTTCCCCCTCTTTTCCCTTCTTTCTTTCAATCAAGAATCTCCTGTTCTCCCAGAAATTCTGGGTTGGTTTGCATAGCTTTTCAAATGCAAATGCCCTAACTATGAAAGTTCCCCATGGGACTCAGGATTCCACCTAAGGCCCCCTTACTCTACAAAGGCTTAAAGAAAAAATCCTTTTTATTTTTGGGAAAATTCTAGCTCCCCTTTTATTAATTCCAATCAAGTTTAGGCTGAAGGTGGGTTTACAAAATC